ACTTATCTCATTAAAAAATACTTTGTTTTTGCTCCCAGACTTTTAAAGAATCCTTGGAAAATTTGTAGAGGAAAGAGTTCTTAGAAATCTGTCATTCTCTAATAGTCTGTAATTTGTTTATTCTGAGCAGATATGATCTATGTCTCTGGGGGCTTTGATGGAAGCAGGCGTCACACCAGTATGGAGCGGTATGATCCAAACATTGACCAGTGGAGCATGCTGGGAGATATGCAGACAGCTCGGGAAGGTGCCGGACTCGTAGTGGCCAGCGGAGTGATCTACTGTCTAGGTATCGAGTCTGGGATGCAGGAATGGGAGAGAACTCAATGGGTAGTGGACTGTGAGTAAGGATTCCTTTTTACTAGGATGAAGTTCATAGACTTCCCTTCAACTAAAACCCTGGTGTGTGTTAATATATTTTCCATTAATTGGGATTATCTTTTTCTTATAAGCAGAAAGTAGGGTACTGTCAGATTTCTCTTAGAGTTACTGGAACTCTTGGGGGAAAATTGAAACTAAAATAGTTGAAGCAGTCAGAGAAAGACCGACCAGAAATGGGCATGAGGATTTACCACTCTTTCTGGAATGATCTCTGTCTTCCAGGAGGATATGACGGCTTGAATATCTTAAATTCCGTTGAGAAATATGACCCTCATACAGGACATTGGACTAATGTTACACCAATGGCCACCAAGCGTTCTGGTAAGACTAGATCTGAGGGAAGGGACAATAGATGGTACTGTCAGACATTTGCATATATAATGGTGGTGCATGGGGCAAACTGTAGATTAATGTAAAAATGAGATTCTGCTCTCCTCCTTGTCTCTGTTTTCTCTAAATATTAGTGAGGATAAAGACGGTTGATACTTAACAACTAGATTATACATTTGGAAGCAAAAGCCTTCATGTCTTTGTTCTCTCCCTACTTTTTAGAATATCTAGTACAATTTTGTCTGTGTAGTACATGTTAAATAAATGTTAAATAAAGTCTTTAATGCATAAGGACAAAAGAGTAGCTACTTACCTTCACCGAGAACTTTTTGAAGTGGAGCAGGCTGGGATGTAGAAAAGGAGAAAACACTGTGCCGTTCTGGTTTACTTATTCTGGGTAAAAATTGCTTCAGAAGCATAATCACAACTCCTTTCCCTCCATCAACCTTTATTGCTGCCTTTTTTTCTCTTCCTCCCTTTCTCCTAATTAGAAGGGTTGGGCTCTGAGTTAATGAAAGTAAGGAGAACAATTGTTACTTATCTTTTATCATTTCAAGTCCAAGCCAAAGGGTTTATAGGTGGAATAACTTGTGCTGGACTAGATTATTCTAGGCCCGTATGGACCCAGTCCATATCTCTCGTCTACTGTAGAACTCAGCTAGTCATTAGTGACGATTTAGTGATGATAGTTTATTTCTATAATTCAGATTCTAGGCTTAGTACCATTCGTTTGCTAATGCCTTCATTTTCCCCAGGTGCAGGAGTAGCCCTGCTGAATGACCATATTTATGTGGTGGGGGGATTTGATGGTACAGCCCACCTTTCTTCCGTTGAAGCATACAACATTCGCACTGATTCCTGGACAACTGTCACCAGTATGACCACTCCACGATGCTATGTAGGGGCCACAGTGCTTCGGGGGAGACTCTATGCAATTGCAGGGTGAGGATTTAGAAACGAATCCAGACTCAATATGTAGCCAGAGCAAGAGTCTATGTGATCTGATCCTCATTTTTGGATGGAGACAAGACTTGGGTAGGGGTAAATATCTCCAGTGGCAACTTGATATTTTTTATTAGATTTTTTTTAGTTTTTAGAGACAGAGTCTTGCTCTGTCACCCAGGCTGGAGTCTGAGTAGAGTAGCTGGGACCACAGGTGCATGCCACTGTGCCAGACTAGTTTTTTATGTTGCCTAGACTGGTCTCCAACTCCTGGGCTTAAGCAGTCCTCCCACCTCAGCCTCCTAAAGTGCTAGGATTACAGGCGAGAGTCACCATGCCTGGCCTCCAGTGGCAGCCTTAATGAAGGACTTGTGTGGAAAGGAATAGAAGGCGAATTTCTTTCTTTCTTTAAATTTTATTGAGACGGGGTCTCACCATGTTGCCTAGGCTGTTCTCAAATTCCCTCCTGGACTTAAGCAATCCTCTTACCTCAGCCTCCTGCGTAGTTGGGATTACAGGCACGTGCCACTGCATGCAGCTGACTCATTTCTTTCTTTTGCTTCTTTCCCACTCAGATATGATGGTAATTCCCTGCTAAGTAGCATTGAATGTTATGACCCTATCATCGACAGCTGGGAAGTCGTGACATCCATGGGAACCCAGCGCTGTGATGCTGGTGTGTGTGTTCTCCGTGAGAAGTGACCATTGTTGGAGCACCATCCAGAGCTATTCCAGTCCAGTGGACAGTTAGTGGGAGAATCAAGAATCCTTTCCAGAATGTCTGTTTCTCACTATGTGCACAGGTTGATTACAGGCACCAGTGCAGTGATGATTGTACTTATTTGACACATACTCCCCCTCGTCCTGGGTCTTGCTCCTGAGAAGGGTGGGTAACAGATACTCCAGAGAAAAGAATGCACATTGAATGGATGTGAGAGACCACATTGCCTCTCCCACTGCTTTGGGGAGCATTTTCCTGTCATTTCTGACTTACCACGTGCTTGGTGTACTGTATGTATGTTGTGCCTCATATGTTGCAAGGTGAGTATAGCCTACTAGATGTGGGTAATATCCAGCCTAGATGATTGGAAAGATACCAATTTAAGTAAGCTTGGTAAAATCCAAGTCTTTTTTTTTTCTTTTTTTTCCAGGAACAACTACATTTTCTCATCTACAGGTAGCTAGGGGCAACACAGTTCCATTGTAGAGGGAAACCAAAGGGAGAGCCCCACAAAACTTTGGGGGCAAGGGAGAGAGAGACTCATCTGACACTTCTTTTGGAGGTCAGGGTTTGTATATCAGAATTGAAGTTAGAATAAGTGAATTAAACTCAATGTGATGGAATGTGAGTGAACCTAGAACAGCACTGAAGTATGACATAACCTGGAAGACTGAGAAGGGTATATTATTTGAAGGATCTTTTTATTTCCCCAAGGTCTTTCGCACTGGAGACAGCATAAAAGAGTGAACAAATGTTGGGATGAGAGAAGATGACATCAATGTGGGAGTTCACTATAACTGGGGATAAACTAGAAGTACCTGTGATTTTACAGTCGTCTTATTACCTGCCAGGGCTTATCTAGCCATGGCAATGTTTGCCTTGAATGGGGGTGAAAGCCTTTCTTTGTTGAATCAAATACTATTACACTATTACACTTCCACACTATTTATTTGGGGATGGGCTGGGAGTGACAGTAGCCTAGTAGTTCAGCTACCTGATTGCTGCCCCATTCTTTTAGAAGCACACTTCTGCCAAGGAGTGGTTTGTACTGCTGTGTTTGGTACATTTGGTCTTTTTTTCTGGTATAAGTTTTCTTTACCTGTCCTTTAGTGTAGATTTTATTCATCATAGGACAGAATAATCAAGGACAACCAAAATCCTTTTGTTAGTTTCAGTACCTCAGCTAGCAGCATTTCTGAGCTATCATTCAATGTTCCTCCGTGTCATGGAGTGAAATTCTTGTTTTATGGGTATTGGGAGTGTGGGAATGTGATAACCTAAACAATCTTTGCTCTGAAATTCCATTTTCCCCTCTTTCCTTGAATTGTATTGACCTACAGAGTTAATTTCCTTTGTATTTTTTTAAGAAAATATTAAAAATCATTGGTGTCAAGTGCCGAGAGTTTGTGGCTAACCAGCATTGCCTTTAGCAGATATTTGGGAGGGAAAGATGTAGGGATCAGCCGTAGCTCCCGTCTCTTCAACCTGTTCATCTTGTGTGTTTGCCAACTAGTTCCGCTATTTCTCTGTTAGACACAGGTAAGAGGTAGCCACTTTACACTTTGGAGATTCTCTTCAGTAAAATATTTTCCTGATTCGCTGTATTCATTATTCCCTCTCATGCTTGGAGTTACTTGAAAACCAAAGGAACAAAGAAGAGACATCTTGAATTCACTTAGCACCCACTTGAATTTTAGGGTTTCAGTCACACTAGTCCTTTTTTCCATTTGATTTGAATTATGGCATGTGATATATAAACAGCTATGCAGAAGGCCTGCAAAACTGCAACAATCCTGATGCTTCCAGAGCAAAAGGGAGGAGCAACCACAAATGAGGAAGTTATTTTCCTTAAAGATACCTGCCAACTTTGGCAGATGGATTGCACCTGCTAATTAAACCACAGCCTATAAAACGTGGCTTTTCCTATCTCAGGAATAAATCCAGGGGAGGGTGAAGGACTGATGGCTCCCATGCTGTCTTCAGTGCTAATGAGTTTCAGACCAACTTCACAAGTAGTTCATACACTGAAGCTACGATGGAATGTTCTACAGAAAGATCAACATGTAAAACTTAGAGTTCCTTTTTCACTCTTTACACAATCGTACACTTTCACGTGCTCACATATATACACAGAGATACCCCTAATTTGGTGGTTCATCTTATTTTTTCAAGCTCCCATAATTGGCAACCAGCTACTTAGTCATCTAACCCAGGAAAACCAGCAGTTGCTTTGTGTCACCCCCATCACAACACAGACATCCAGCTAGTTTCTAAGTTCTGTACAATTTTAATTGTTCCAAGTCCATTCCCGTATCTTTGTTCCCTCTGCTAGCTTCAGGGCCTTTCTCAGCTAGACTCAAGGTAATAGCCACTGATATCCTTACCTCTACTCTTTTTCCTCTCTTCAATCTATTCTTTCCATTTAGTCATAGGTTGTCTCTCTGAAGCACAGATAGGATCATTACAGTACTTAACATCAGACAGTAAATATCGAACAGTTATTTCTGGCCTAAAATTCCACAGATTCCCATTGTTCATGCTATTAATGTTCAATTCCTTAGCATGACATTACATCCATGGAGCTCTGAGTCCACTCTACCTTCCTGATCTTACCTACCTCTACTACCGCTGCTCCCCAGGTGTAATGTGGATCAGCCACAGTGGTCTACTAACCATTCCTAAATTTGTTCTCACCTTTGTTCATATATAATACTATTCTGTCTGAAATAATCTTGCCTTCCTGACAATCCTAGTTAATGAAGAGCAGCGGCTTTAGTTATGCTGCAACCTTTCTGATCTTTACCTTTCTCATTTCGTGCACAAGAGTGCCGATTCCGTAAGGAAGCTGTGATGATGTGGTAAGTTTCTAAAGGCGCTTTGACATTTTGCCGCATAGTAAATGGTCACAATGAGTAGAAGAGACCAGCAATTAAAGCTTCCACGCATCTTTTTCCAATACCGAAAAGATACATGCCCCTCTAAGTAGTTTAAGAAGCTAATGTGGCTAAAACTTGATGGGAAGTCCGACCCAGATTACCTTCACATTGCCTCCAATAATGTCCCCATTCATTCAGGAGACTAAATTCAGATCTCAGAAAACTAAACAGGTCAACAGGTTTTAATATTAAGTGAAGCCCAGTGGCCAGGTGGGTATGGAGATATGTCACTGGTCCCAAGAAGTGTCCCTGTCACAAAGCCTGCCGACACCTAGCCACTCAGGTTAGGCAATGAATGAAGGCGCTTGCGCAGTAGAATCCAGAGCGGGGAAGCGGGCGCCTGCGCAGAGACGTGGTGACCGTCCGCTTCATGCCAAGCCGCGCCAGCGCAGTGAAGAACGAGCCAGCAGAAACAGCGCCTGCGCAGCCGTGGCTGAGGAGCTTGTGGCGGCAGCGGCAATGGAACCAGCGGAGCAGCTGAGCGAGTTAGTGTCAGCCGAGGGCCGAAACCGGAAGGCGGTGCTGTGCCAGCGTTGCGGCTCCCGGGTGCTGCAGCCAGGGACCGCTCTCTTCTCTCGCCGACAGGTAGGGAGGCAGGTTGGAGGCCGTTTACACCCGCAGTCTCCCGGACGAGCTGCCGCGGGCAGTATCTGAACCCCGGCTCCTCAATTTCCGGAGACCGCGCCCTCCTCGCGCGGCCTTAAGCCCCGCCCCTCGGGCCTCCGCTCGGCGAGGCTCCGCCCCTGGGGCCGCCGGAGGCGAGGGGGTGAACGTGGTCCCGCCCCGGCGTCTTTTGCCGCGGGAACGCTTCCCTGAGCCACCCGGCCCTTCGCCCCTGGAGCGGCTTCGAGCGCGGGGCGTGCGCCCCGCCGCCGTCCAGGGCCGCTGCTTCGCGGGCGCGTGGAAGGGAGGCGCCCCATTCCGGCTTCCGGAGCTCCCGCCGGCTTGCAGGAGACCCGGCAGGTACCTGTCGGCCGCGGCTCACCGCAAGTGTGGCCGGGTTCCTGTCCCACTTCATACCCCACCCTCCAGTCCTGAATTCACCGTCTTATTTATGACAGGCACCTGTCTGCTCCACAGAGGAGCCCCAGAAACAACTGGTGTAGGGGACGCGGCAAAATAACCCTGGTAACCAATCCACTTTACCGAGGCACTGGAAGCCTCTGGTTTTCCAGATGAATCATATTTGAAGTGCTTAGATCCCTGACGTCCTGGAAGTAAATTTCGAAGAAAAACTATTTCCCGTCAGTTTAGGGATTTTAATACCCTTCCTACCACCATCATCGCAAGTGAGAACGTTGAAAAAAAATTTTATTTCGGTAAACTCTGTGTTGAAGTGCAAATATGTTATTTAAACCATAGGAACATCCTATCATTCAAAATTATTTCTAAAAATATGCAGACCATTTTATTATTCCATGTGGTTGAACAGATCGTGAAGTGTGATGTCTAGTAGAGGAGCAAGAAGCACCCATTCCTCCAAAACAGCCTTCCATCAAAGGAGGAAAAAAAGGAATCTATGTCTGTTGTTTTGTAGGTATTTTGATGACTTTTGATCTAGAGATTGGTGGAGGTCCCGGGGTTCTTTTAAGGCTTCCAAGGTTTGGGAGTAGAGTTCTCAATTAATTTTACGAAGTTAGTGGCGTTATGGAGTCAATGGAAAGAACATGGATCTTGGAATTAAAACACACATGGAATTGAGTCCTGACTTTACCATTCATTAACATTCAAAGAGTTAGGCTGGGCGCGGCATGCCTGTAATCCCAGCACTTTGGGAGGCTTAGGCGGGCGGAACACCTGAGGTCAGGAGTGCGAGACCAGCCTGGCCAACATGGCAAAATCCCATCTCTACTAAAAAAAATACAAAAATTAGCTGGGCGTGGTGGCACACGCCTGGAATCCCAGCTACTCGGGAGGCTGAGGCAGGAGAATCGCTTGAACCTGGGAGCCGAGATTGAGTCACTGCACTCCAGCCTGGGCGACAGAGAGACTCCATCTCAAAAAAACAAAAAAAAAAGTTAACCTCCATGAGATGCAGGTTGCTTATTGTGTAAAAGAGGGGTGTGCAGTCTTTTGGCTTCCCTGAGCCATATTGGAAGGTTTGTCTTGGGCCACACAAAATATACTAACGATAGCTGATGAACTAAAAAAAAAAATTGCAAAAAAAAAAATCTCATGATGTTTTAAGAAAGTTTCCAAATTTGTGTTGGCCGCATTCAAAGCCGTTCTGAGCCGTATGCCGGCCGCGGGTTGGACAAGCTTGTTGTAAAATGAAGATGATGATAGATGGAAGAATTTATATAAAAGCACTTAGCACTGTGCCTAGTATGTAGTATGTATAGGTTAATTCCCATCTTTTCCATGGCAAGGTTTTGTCTAACTTTATAAACTGACATAAATTAAGAGACTTCTAAATGGAGTTTATAGTTTGTTTTAAAATTCTTCATTTTTTTTCCTTAAAACAAAAAACATAGCCCACGCCTGTAAATCCCAGCTCTTTGGGAAGCTGAGTTGGGTGGATCACTTGAGGTCAGGAGTTCAACACTGGCTTGGCGGACATGGTGAAATCCCAGCTCTACTAAAAATACAAAAATTATCTGGGCGTGTTGGTGGGCACCTGTAATCCCAGCTACTCGGGAGGCTGAGGCACAAGAATCGCTTGAACCCAGGAGGCAGAGGTTGCAGTAGGCCAAGATTGCACCACTACACTCCAGCCTGGGTGACAGAGCAAGAGTCCATCTCAAAAAACAAAACAACAACCACAACCAAAAAAAAAACAGAAAAAACATAGACACACTCACTGTATTGGTCTCCAACTCCTGGGCTCAAGTGATTCATCCACCTTGGCCTCCCAAAGTGGTGGGATTACAAGTATGAGCCACCGGGCCTGGCCAGGATCTTTCTTTTGTTTTGTTTTGTTTTGTTTTTGAGAGGAGTCTCACTCTTGTCTAGGCTGGAGTGTAGTGGCATGATCTCAGCTCACTGCAACCTCTGCCTCCCGGATTCAAGTGATTGTCCTACCTCAGCTTCCCAAGTAGCTGGGATTACAGGTGCATGCCACCATGCCCAGCTAATTTTTGTGTTTTTAGTAGAGATGGGGTTTCAGCATGCAGGCCAGATGAGCTGCTGCGCCCCACAGGACCTACCTTCTGCCCTGCCCTCCCTTCCCCTCCCCCTCCCCTCCGTTCCCCCCTTCCCTTCTCCCCTTCCCTTCTCCCCTCCTCTTCCCTCCTCCCCTCCTCTTCCCTCCCCATTCCCTGTTGTGCTCCGTCACAAGCATGGCTCACTGCAGCTTCCAACCAGCCAAAATTCTTAATTCTTGTTGGATACTATTTTAAACTGATCTGCCAAAAACTGTGTGAGCAAATTAAATTATATATGTTACATTTATTTTTGTTTCTCAACTAACACAGTGGCCCCTATTCTAGAAAGAGGCCTAAGAATTTTCTTTAATGCATTTTGTGTGTTTTAAAATGTTTTCCCTCTTTTAAAAACGCAAAAAGGTGTTTTTGTTGTTGTTGTTGTGTTTTTTAACAATGGCTTTAGTATTTCGGGAAATTTCCTATTTCTTGAGAAAGAATTGTTAGAAGAATCCTGTCCCTTTTTCTGGACTCGAACAACTCAGCTGTAATCCAAGCCAGTGTTCTCCTTACTCTCAGTCCTAATTGTTTTCTCCTTTCTTTTCTCAAATACTAATTTCAGCAAAAATATAACTTCTAGGACGTGATGTAAATAGAAAGTAGAAAATTTCATGGAAGATTCTAACCACTTATTTATTAGTCCTTTCCCTGCTCTGTGTCACACATTTTAAGGTGGGGAAAAACAGTTCCATCCTTAGAACAGGCAGCTTCTGAGATGCCGAGCTCCTTAACTAAAGCTTTGGGGTAAACCCCGTAAAGGTTTGGGGTAGCTCTTTTTTTTGTCATCACTGTGACATATTGCAGATAAACCACCATTAGGGCAATTACAGCAGGGCTGTTAATCATCTCCGCAGGTGTTAAAGGAGCACTCTCAGCCCTTAAGCCTGGAGAAAGGTTTGTACGGAGTCTGGTTAGAGGTGGCCTACAGCTTTCTCTCTCACTCCACCCAGTGGAATAGCCTAGTAGTCTGCAGATGGGAACAATTGGAGAACTAGACTGCCAGTCCTACCTTTGAGGTGATCCAGGGCCTAGCACTTACTGTATCTTATGTTCCAGAGTACTTTAGTCTAAAGCAGTATGTTTCTCGATTCCTCCCACACTCTCCAGAGGACATTTAGCAATATCTGGAGACATTTTTGGTTGTCAGAATGAGGGAGGTGTGCTACTGGCATCTAGTGGGTAGAAGGCAGGGATGCTGTCTTACTCCGTCTCAAACAAAACAAAAAAACAAAAAAAAGGCTGGAGTGCAGTGGCACGATCTCTGCTCACCTAATCTCTGTCTCCCGGGTTCAAGCAATTCTCCAGCCTCAGCCTCCCAAGTAGCTGGGATTACAGGTGCCCCCACCATGCCCAGCTAATGTTTTGCATTTTTTAATAGAGATGGGGGTTTCACCATGTTGGCCAGGCTGGTCTTGAACTCCTGACCTCAGATGATCCGGCCACCTTGGCCTCCCAAAGTGCTGGGATTACAGGTGTGAGCCACTGTGCCCAACCCAAACAGTGATATATTTTGCTCAGGAATTTAGGGTTCGACTGGGTTTAGCCAGGCAGTTCTCACTGGGGGTCTCTGATGTGATGGCAGTCAGAAAGGTCATTCCGTCACGCGTCTGCCTGTGGGCTGGGAGGGCTCACACACCTGAGCACTGGAACAGGATTTGGGGCCACCTCTGTCCCTACATGGAGCCCCCCCCAGCCTGATCTCTACATGGCACCCTCAGGATAGCCGGACTTACGACACAGTGACTGAAGGCTCCCAGCACAAGTGTCCCATGAGAAATGGCAAAAGTTGCATGCCATTTTCTAACCAGCCTGTCACTACGACCACATACATACATCAAGCAATCACCATGGCCTGCCCAGACCAAAGGAGAGGGGTATGGACTCCACTCTAGGTGGAAGGATTATCAGAGAATTTTCGGATGTGTTTTGAAACCACCACAAGTAACTCCCAGATGGGAAAAAATTACGAAAAAGTTAACAGAAGTGTACTCTGTATTGTAACAGTTTTTATTCTCATCTATATTATAGCATGCTTGCCAAGTTTTCTATAATGAAAATGTGTTTTTACAATGAGAAAGGTAGTATTTTGTTTTTAAAAGGGTGCTGTTAGTAGTATATCAGCAGTCTCACTGAGTTGTGTTCAGTCTGTTTCTAAAGAGGCTGTCCAGGATTCGCTGGGGTCCTGACAGAACAAAGGTAACCCATCTGGTTAGGGATCTCACTGGCAACTTCACACCAAGTTGAGTTTGCCTCAAATCACTAATTTTTTTGTTGCCACTCCCAGTAGCCTATCCAGAAAGCCTCATTATATGCCAGGTGTTATAGCTATCGCCTGGCCCTAGCAGTTGTCCTTGGCATTGCAGTAAATAGGTTGAGATCCAGGCAGAGATGCACATACATATGCATATATATGGATATACTCTTGTGGGCCTGACTGAGAGGGTCTAAGTTGAAATGGGAATGTTGAGGAATAGAGCAAACAGGACCCAATATGATGTCTTGAATGGATTGTTAATTATGGTAGTACCTTTAAATTACAGATCAAAGGAGAGACAACTGGACAGGTGACGCTTTGTGCCACAAGTGGGAACTGAGAGAGGGAAGGTGGTGGTCTTTTGTTGGGCACCTCCTGAACACTCATGCTTTAGTCAGTTTTCCTTTTGTTTTGTTGGACACATCAAATTCTTGGTTGATTGGTTAGATGTCTTAACTAGTCCACTGAAGTTTACTCCGTCTATGTGAAGATGTGTGAGATTTCATTCCTACAGTAGACGGGATAAGACAGAAATATATATAGGAAAATTGAGACCCACAGAAAGTTACAGATGAGACCGGAATTCAGGTTTCCTGGTTCCTTAATTTTGATTCCTAACTCTCTTTGCCTCTGCTTGTTCCTGTTTTTGTTTAAGGTAGAACAAAGTGTTAAGGACACCTTGAACATGAGGCATAAAGAATGAGTGGAGTAGCAGTATTACACAGTGGCTTGCACTGTAACCCCAGTTACTTGGGAGACTGAGGCTGGAGGATTGCTTGAGCGCAGGAGTTCAAACCCAGCCTGGGCAATGTGGAGAAACCCCGTCTTTAATTACAAAAAACCAAAAAAGTATATCATGGGGTGGGAAATGGGAAATAAGTGATATGACAGCAGCCGTATGAGGAGCAGAGGAGTAGCAAACTTGGCTGGCATGATATTTTGCAGTAGTCTGGGACAGCTAAGAGTATATACACTATCCATATGGAAGAAATTAAAGCAATTTTGTGTGTGCCAGAGGCCTTCTCCTAATGATTGAGAAGTCATATAGGTTGGAGGGTACAAGCATCCTAGAGCTGATAATTCCAAATTGTAGAACTAGATTTTCCTTTTTATAAGATAAATCTAGTATATCCCTAACAGTGATGGAATAGATCAAAGCTAGATATTCTATGCTCGTTCTCTTAACAAATCATTGAGATCCCGCTGTATACCAGTTGCTATTCTAAGCACTAGAGATCGAGTAATGAACAAGGTAAGCTCCTTGCTTTCCAGGAGCTGATATTCTAGTGGAGGTAGACACGTGGTAAATAAGCCAATAAATTAACACAGTAATTTCAGAAAATAAGCAATAAGTAAACAAGTAGGAGTGGCATGATGAAGAGACTTCCAGGGGAAATGAATGTGTTCATTATCTTGATCATGATAATGGTTTCACTGGTATATATGTGCTAAAGTGAAATAAACTGTGCGTTTTACTTTATTTTTGAGACAGGATCTCACTCTGTCACCCAGGTTGGAGTACAGTGGCATGATCGTGGCTCACTGCAATCTCAATCTCCCCGGCTGAAGTGAGCCTCCCACCTCAGCCTCCTGAGTAGCTGGGACTACAGACACTTGCCACCATGCCCAGTTAATTTTTTTTTTTTTTTTTTTTTGAGACAGAGTCTCGCTCTGTTCCCAGTCTGGAGAGCAGTGGTGCAATCTCAGCTCACTGCAGCCTCAACAACTTCCTGGGCTCAAGCGATTCTCTTACCTCAGCCCTGTGAGTAGCTGGGACTACAGGTGTGCACCACCACAGCCAACTAATTTTTGTGTTTTTTGTAGAGATAGGGGTCTCACTACGTTGCCTAGGCTGGTCTTGAACTCCTGAGCTCAGCCGATCCTCCTGCTTCAGCCTCCCAAAGTGCTGGGATTACAGGCATGTACCACTGCGCCCAGCCCTGGCTAATTTTTTCAAATTGCTTTTTGTACAGACTAGGTCTCATTATGTTGCCCAGGCTGATGTGCATTTAAAATATGTGCAGTTCATATGTCAGTTTTACCTCAAGCTATTTAAAAAATATATATAGTGAGCAGTAAGTAAAGCTAATTCAGGTTGTTTGGTTAGATAAGACCTCCTAAGAAGGCTACATTTGAGCTGACTGCCAAGGAGCAGCTAGCCATGCCAAGATCTGAGGGCAGAACAGACTAATGCTGTTTGAGGAAGGCAAGAAAGCCGGTGTGTCTGAAGCATAATGAGCCAGGGAAACTAGGACCATGTGGGGCCCATGTTGAGGACAGCAATGAGACCGAGTTCCCAGACCACCCAGCTGGTGCCCCTCTTTCATTTCTCTTAAGAATCAAGTTCACGCCTATAATCCCAGCACTTTGGGAGGCCGAGGCAAGCAGGTCACGAGATCAGGAGATCGAGACCATCCTGGCTAACAGTGAAACCCCATGTCTACTAAAAAAAATACAAAAAATTAGCCCGACTTGGTGGCGGGCGCCTGTGGTCCCAGCTAGTCGGGAGGCTGAGGCAGAAGAATGGCGTGAACCTGGGACGCGGAGGTTGCAGTGAGCTGAGATCACGCCACTGCACTCCAGCCTGGGCGACAGTGGGATAATCTGTCTCAAAAAAGAAAAAAAAAAGAATCAGGGCAGAGACCAGAGGCAAAGAAGAGCCACCCAACATTATCGTCTACAGCTTAATGAGACAGCTTCTCTTTTTTAGTTTGTAATTCCTGCTAAGGAGCAATGTGAAGTGTACCTAGAATGGGGGTGTTGATGGAACTGGGCCAGTTCAACTTCTGCATTCTTTATGTTCTCTCCCACTGCAGCTTTTCCTTCCCTCCATGAGAAAGAAGCCAGCTCTGTCTGACGGCAGCAATCCTGATGGTGATCTCCTCCAGGAACACTGGCTGGTTGAGGACATGTTCATTTTTGAGAATGTGGGCTTCACCAAGGACGTGGGCAACATCAAGTTTCTGGTCTGTGCAGACTGTGAAATTGGACCAATTGGTTGGCATTGCCTAGATGACAAGAACAGTTTCTATGTGGCCTTGGAACGAGTTTCCCATGAGTAACTGAGGGGAAGGGTACCCAGCTCCACCTCCAAAGATAAACCTGCTCCCCACAAGAACTGGCCTTTAATGTGGTCTAACTGTTCTGCTGCCTTCTTCTCTGTGCTAATATAAATACTGAGTACCAGCATGTCCACTTGAACATGCAGAGGGTTAATCCTGCTTCCTAAAGCCTCACGTACATGCCTCCTGCCTAGTTCACTTTGCATCACATTTCCTAAGCTCCTTTTTCCCCCAGTTTTGGGACACTGCTTACCTCCACAAATCTCATCTCTTCCCTCGCATTCTGCCTAGGCTCTGTTTTGCCCAGGGGCTCCCTCTTTTTCTTGCTCTAGAAGAGCAGTATTCAACCGTTTAGTTATGACGACACGTAACAAAAGATGCTTATGTACTAATAGTTGAAAGTCTGCCTTTTTCTCATTCAAGAAGGCATACAAATATCTGAGAGTGACTTTGTTGTATAGCTACCCTTGTGATCTACAGTAATTTAATCAAACTAAAAGTAAAGCATTTACAAAACTCAGTATTTAAACCACTAACCAGAAACATTACTTGGGATGCATCTCCAGTACCATGTTTGAGCGCCTCTGCTCTAGATTGAGAATGACATTTTATTGTGAAGATGGGTGTGGTCCCTCTTCCTTTGAAATCTTACGGTTTCTTTTTATATTAACTCCCCACTGCTACAGCCTAGAAGGTGAGAAGCAGATTTTTAACCCCATCTGGCAGCCAGAGGAAAACCCAGCCCTGGCTGTTTACCCAGGCTCTCTTGGAATGAGAGTGGAGGGTGTAGGATATGAGGGTTAGGCCTTTGCCAGATTACACACAAGTTTATAATTTGCTTTATCTGGACAGGTAACTTTCTTCCTTTGTTCACAGGCAAGAACTTATTTAATGGATAGTATCATTTACTGAACCTACTAGGCACAGTCCTCATGGAGTTTTGGTTCAACTGGAATCTCTGTGCCAACCCAGGATACAAACTTCCATCCAGATGCCTCTATTTCCATAGCTCCGGGGCTGCTCCAACAGTTTGATATCAGCAGACTTGTTTAAGCCTTCAACTTGATTTCCAATTATTCCATCATTTCTATTCTGAAATGACTCACCGTCATAGAAGGAAGTTTATTATATAACCAAGGTTTCAGGTATCCTCCTGTCACCACCTCTACCATTCAGGAGGCCTAAACTTGAAATAAGTACTAAATAGAAACCTTACCATCTGAAGTCTCTTCCGTTGTTTTCTAGTTGCTTCCTCCTTCCTTTACCCCCAGACTTTCTAAGGGCTCCCCCGCTGCAGTGAAAGCTGGCCTTGGGCACACTTTTGCAACCAATCTACTCCCCTGGAAAGGTGGCTTCCTCCTCCAATCAGCCTGAATGAGCTTCAGTAAGCAAGCAATTGAGAGAACTGTGTTTTTCCGACAAACGGTCACATGTCCATTGTTATGGCATCTAAAGAAAAACAAAGTTATCCACTCAAGTCAGGAGCATAACCCAAGTAGATGCCTCTAGGGGCACATGGCCCCTTACATCACAAGCCAGAACCTAAGCTAAGCATTTTTTTAAATGAGTTTGAGACTAGCCTGGGCAACATAGTGAGACCCCATCTCTATTTTAAAAATGAACAACATTACCTGGGCATGGTGGTGTATACCTGTAGTCCCTGCTCCTTGGGATGCTAAGGTGGGAAGATCACTTGAGCCCCAGAGATGGTGGCTGCAGTAAGCCAAGATCACACCACTGGCACTCCAGCCTGGGCAAGAGAGAGACCCTGTCTCAAACAACAACCACAAATACATACATATATATATACACACACACACACATATATATAGCGACTTGAATAGGAAACCATAGTATTTCATTGTTTTAATTTGCATTTATTTTATTTTTAGTGAAACTTTTATGTACGTATCGGTCATTTCTGTTTCCTTTTTTGAAAACTGCCAAATGTTGCCCTAGTAGCCAAAACTACCAAGTTGCTATTCTGCCTTTTCAGTTTGATCTGAAAGAAATAAAGGCATTTAAGCAATGGAAATTAGATTTCTGCATGTCCTTGGAAAGAATATATAAATTGAAAAAACAGAGGAGAGCTGAAACCTGAACCTTGGGGTTTAGCTTAAGGTCAACCAACTGATTATCTAGTCTCCTATAAAATGGCAATGTCATTTCTTCATTTCCCTCACACATAGTAGGCTCTCAGTGCATACTTGTGAATCAGCTGCTATTTGCTGTAGGTAGATAGAAGCAACCTGTGCTTTCTACTCCTAGTATAGAAACTTCTGTTTTCTATTGGGGAGAGCAGTTGATTTTGCGAAGGTCTGATTGTTTCCACATAAGCGTCTGTTGTTTTACAAAAACACAGAATCAAAGATGGGCAATGGTGTACCGACATTTCACAAATTGTATATGAGGCTGCACATGTAACTAAGTAGCTATGAGGACTTCTGCTTCTGGTAATGGTGGATAGGTCCTTTGGACTGACCAGCTCACTGGTTAACTAGAAAGGCTGGACAAAATACTTCAGAATCTTGGTTTGAAGGCACCAAGAGAGCCAACATGACTTTGAAGAATTGCTAAACGAGGACGGCAGAGGAGATGGGAACCCTGGGAGGTGGGCTTGGTGTGATGGGCCACCATTCTCCTGGGAGCATTTGCCAAACTTGGAGGCGAATCAGAGGCTTAGCAGTGATTTTAGCAGCCTTTCAGAAGTAGGGGACAGGGCCTGTGAAAGGGGGATGGACTTGGTGGTGTCCCTCACTTTTGGTGGTGTTTTTTTTTTCGCCCAGGCTGGAGTGCAGTGGCGCGATCTCGGCTCACTGCAAGCTCCGCCTCCCGGGTTCACGTCCTTCTCCTGCCTCAGTCTCCCAAGTAGCTGGGACTACAGGTGCCCGCCACCACGCCCGGCTAATTTTTTTTTGTATTTTTAGTAGAGACGGGGTTTCACCATGGTCTCGATCTCCTGACCTTGTGATCCGCCCGCCTCGGCCTCCCAAAGTGCTGGGATTACAGGCGTGAGCCACCGCGCCCGGCCATCCCTCACTTTTGGTTGAAGCCCTCAGTCTTTTGCACCCCAGGAATAAGGGTGAGGCAGTGTAGGAAACAGGCTCTCAGGACTGCAGCCAAGCTTCTGATTATGGATCTTAATCTTTGAAATTAGATTAAGGTGATCCCAGAGTGGTAGTTTGCCCAAACTCTTTGGATAAGCAAACAAAAACCCTCTCTAGAGGATATTATCCTAAACTTCAGATTATTTCTGCAAACAATTTTGCTAATACAATATCCTGAGTACAGCAAGATGTAAGCAGGCATGTGAGACAAGATAGCAGGCCCATAGTAGCTAGAGATATTGGTGCTATCAAACAGACTAAAATAACTGCTTACCATCTTCAAGGAGAGACACTGTTTGGGAATTTCAGCAGCTACGTGGACATGTTTTTTTTCTAAAGTGAATTCTAGAATTTGTAAGAATCCAATAATCAAAATTAAGAATACAGTGGAAACTTGGCCGGTCGTGGTAGTTCACGCCTGTAATCCCAGCACTTTGGGAGGCCAAGGCCAGCGGATCACGAGTTCAGGAGTTCAAGACCAGCCTAGCCAACATGGTGAAACCCTGTCTCTACTAAAAATACAAAAATTAGCCAGGTATGGTGGCGCACGCCTGTAATCCCAGCTACTGAGAAGGCTGAGGCGGGAGAATCACTTGAACCCAGGAAGCAGAGGTTGCAGTGAACTGAGATTGCGCCACTGTACTCCAGCCTGGGACAGGGAGAGATTCCATCGCAAAAAAAGAAAGAATACAGTGGAACCAGCAGGGGCAACATAGTGAGAGTCTGTCTCTACAAATAAATAAATAAAATAGCTGGGTGTGGCGGCACCTGCCTGTAGTCCCAGCTGCTTTCGAGGGTGAGGTGGGAGGATCACTTGAGCCCAGGAGTTAGAAGCTTCAGTGAGCTATGATGATGACACTATACTCAAGCCAGGGCAAGAGTGAGCCCGCCTGTAAATTTCAAGTTCACTGGAACGTTTTAACAGCAGCTTAGGCACAACTGAGGAGAGAACTAGAAAACTAGGGGCTAGATAGAACTAACAGTAGATGTGTAAGACCACAACACAAAACCTTATATGACATTACTAAGAGAAAGTAAAAGAAATTCATGAGGCCAGGAGACTACAGCCCACAGGCCAAATTCATTCAGCCAGTACCTATTGAGGCTCAGAAACTTTCAAGCTAAAAATAGTTTTTACTTTTTTTTAAGACAGGGTCTTACTCTGTTGCCTAGCCTGGAGTACAATGGCACAATCACAGATCACTGCAGCTTCAGCCTCCCAGGCTCAGGTGAGCTTCCCACCCCAGCCTCCTGAGTAGCTAGGAACACGGGCACGTGCCAGTGCACCCGGCTAATTTTATTTTTGGTAGAGACAGGGTTTTGCCATGTTGCCCAGGCTGGCCTCAAATTCCTGGGCTCAAGCGATCCTCCCACCTTGGACTCCCGAAGTGCTGGAATTACAGGTGTGAGCCACCGCACCTGGCCGGTTTTTATGTTTTGTAAATGGTTATATAAATATATAATATCTCCAATTCTGCCTCAGCCCACAAAGCTTAGAATACTTATCTAACCCTTTAAGAAAAAAGTTTGTTACCTCCTAATATTGTTAACAATCTCAACTTCAAACTGATATATAAATTCAGTAAATCCCAGTCAAAAACTCAACAAGTGTGTGAAATTCAACAAACTGATTGTAAAAGTTAAATGAAAATGCAGAGGACCAGGAGTAGCCGAGACAGTCATGGAGAAGAACAAGGTGGGAGAATTATTCTATTGGACAGACAGTGTAGCTTGTCACAAGGATAGACAAATAGACTAATGGAACAAAAGAGCTCAGAAGCAGACCTATGCATATATATAGACACTTGATTTATGATAAAGGTAGGAGTAATGATTTGGAGGGGGTATGAGGAGAGCTTCTGCAATGCTGGTAATATTCTATATTTAAAAATCTTGATAGTTGCTATGTAATAAATTGAGCTGTACATCTGTGCACTTTTCTGAACATATATTTTCACAATAAGGTTTTTATTTTTGGGAGGACAGGGCCTCTGTCACCGAGGCTGGAGCACAATGGCATGATTGTGGCTCACTGCAAGCTTGAACTCCCAGGCTCAAATGATCCTCCTGCCTCTTAGCCTCATGAGTAGCTGGGACTACAGGTGCATGCTACCATGCCCGGCTATTTTTTGTTTTTTTGTTTTTTTTTTTTAGAGATGGAGTCTCACTGTGTTCCCCAGGCTGGTCTGGAACTCCTGGCCTCAAGTGATCCTCCTGTCAACCTCCCAAAATGCTGGGATTACAGGTGTGAGCCACTGTGCCTGGCGACAGTAAGATTTTTAAAAGAATGTAAGTAGTGGTTCTATACAAAGCCCACTTTTCTAAACATCAGTTCTTCCCTTCAAAATCAGATAGCATTTCATTTCCATTATCTCCTAAATGTATACATATTTAAAAATTAAACGCCTGACTACTTCCTCACTTCTAAGGACGATA